ACTATTGGATTATAGGCTCTCTGACTTCAGAGGACTCATACGGCGTGCTTGTTTTGGAGGTAGTGGGGCTATTTGCCGCACCCTTCCCAAAATGACGCCCCCTCCCCAAAATGACGCCCCAGAAGCCACACGAGGATTTTGGTTATTTGATACTGCATAGATTAACTAAACTTCCGTCTATTTAGAAGGAATTCCAGAGAAATTTGACTAAAAAGCTCAACAAAATGGGGAAGTAGAAAAACGTACACAAAACAGCACAACGTAACGTTTCGACCGGGAGGCCTTTTTCAAACATAAGTCTATTTAGTATCCGCCTAGATGAATACGTTACCGTGAGAATAGCAACTTGTGCTGGGGGAAAAATGGCCCTATCATCATGTGTTGTTATATCTCGGACTACATTAGAAATGTTCTCTCCCAAAGAATGCAGATTCAAAATGGTTAGACATTTATCGAATCTTATCAAGACAGACTTGTTAAGGAGGTGGAAAAGTAAGCATTCGGGTTGCTTTAATGTTGCCGACATTCGAAAGGTAAGCTTTCGCATTGTGACATTGTCAAAAATGTAGACCATTGCACAACTTAAGTTTTTATTAGTAACTTTGAACGACCTTGTTCTCTGTTGCTAAACTGGTGCTTTTTTATTTAAATTATAATGGCTTTAAAAATGCATTCATTTAATTATTCACAGATTTTCATTTTTATTATAGAAATTGAATATAATACAGTATCATTTACTGATCATGGAACGACAAAGCAAGGCAAAGGCATAACCAGTCAGCCAGCACTCAGCAAATCGCAATAATATTTTGTATTACGTAACGATAACGAATGAATTCTTCTACTTGGCTTAACCGGCCATAAACTCCGGCGGTAAAGTTTAGTTATTCGTCCACTTCTAGAACTTGTTCCAAGACTTAAGTTGTGCGTACACACCCATTTGACAGATTTGGTAGCTTATTTGATTGTATACAGACTGTTGGCAGTTGGTTCCTGACCCATAAGTCAGAATTACTCAGACGTCAGACTTTGAAGAAAACACCCTCAGTCAGTTTGTTAGGTGGGGAGTAAGTAAGCCCCCCCCCCTCCCCCCCCACCAACCCAAAACGGAGCTGTAGAATCCACACGGGAACATAATAAAAGACAATAAATTCTTATCATGAGGCCTTTTCTTTTTTTACTTATATGATTTAATATATTAAATATTGGCTCTACTGGCAAATCCGGACGAAGAATAAACAGCCTTGGACGACTTAGTCAGAGTTCTCTCCCGTGGCCGCACTCCAAACAGTGATCGGAAAAGCCACAAAGAAGACAGTCACGTCGACATCAGGACTGCCAATGCTTGGTTGTTTCCCCCAGATCTGGTTTTTTTTCGACGCTGCAGGACAATTCTGGGTGTTTTTTTGGGTGTGTTGTGTTTGTTGGTGTTTGCCGATTTGTATGCTTTAATGATCGATAAATTTGCGTGGTTAGGGGGTAAGGGTTAGGGAGTAGGATTAGGGTTAGCGGTAGGGTTAGGTTTAGCGTTAGATTTGACAATGTTGACGCCGGAGTTCCCTATAATCGCGCACAGTCCCATACACACACACAAACAATCGAGGGCCTCTGGATGCTGGTCAAACGCACAATTCACCAACGATTGGGGGCACCAGCCGCACGCTATTGGCGTCATATTTGGCAGAGTTTCAGTGGCGCCACTCCCACAAACATCATATCCCTATCCTAACCCTACCCCTAACTCTAATCCAACAACCGCATGATGATGACTACACAACCATTCACAATGCCTCGCGCAACCGTATGCAACCCTGCACGCAACCATATGATGATGCCACGATGCCTCACGCAACCGTACGCAGCCCTACACGCAACCGCAGGATGATAGGTAAGTGTGTCGTTTATTTCGTTTGTTTTCCGATTACTGTTTGGAGTGCGGCCAAGGAAGAGAACTCTGACTAAGTCGTCCAAGGCTTTTTATTCTTCGTCCGGATTTGCCAGTAGAGCCTAAATATTTATTGACTTGTATTCTTTTTATTTTGCTGGCTCTATATTTTTTGTTAACAGTTTGTTATTGGGTGACATTATTATCTCTCTGCCTTTATTTATCAGAACTTTTCCTAGTTCCTGTAGTCTAGATTATGTAGACCTGAGGGTTGGCTGGTCAGTTTAAGCAAAAATAATCTCGGCCTCTTTGAGGTTTCGACCATATCACCAGCAGGTCAGCAAGCAAGCTTGCCAGCTACATCACTGCTGCAACTTCCCTCGGGGTTCCAGGACCCCATTTTGAGGAAAGAAATAGACCCACTGCCCCCCCCCCCCAACAGTCATGTTGTAGGATGCGATAAATTAGGGGTCTTTCCATCAAGTCTTAGTGCATCTTCCTGAGAGGCAAGGAACCAACAGCCTGCATAGACATAAAGCAGATCTGTAAAATGGATGTGCATGCAAAACTCAGATTGTGGAATAAGACCAAAGTCTAGGAGTGGAAAAACAACTAAAACTTTCCGTCAGTGTTTACAGTCGTAAACACTAAAAATAAAAGAGACTGTTGCAACTTTGTCCTGGTTGGTACTTATACTGTGAAATTTTAGCTATCTTCCGAACAACGGTCCCAAATTATCGAGGCCGACAATATACCCTAACAGGGCCTCAGTCACATGTAAATTGCGGAGGTGGCCGAGAGTATCTCCCACGCAGCGTAGATTGGGACTAAACTAGATGGCTGGGTCTCACGAGCAGCAGCTGCCGCATCTCCTGCAGCTTCCTTCATTTTATTTGCTTGTGAGTCCCAGCCATCTAGTTGAGCCCCACTCCACGCCCCGTATGGCAGCGTGGGAGATACTCTCGGCGATGGCGGAGGTGCGCAATTTACACGTTACTGAGGCCCTGTTAGGGTATATTTTCGGCCTCAATAATTTGGGGCCATTATTCAGAAGATAGCCGAAATTTTTAACCTTAAATCATTCTTATTCTTAAAATTGTAAGACCACAATATTCCATATTGGCTATTATGACTGAGAGATTTAAAAAAATACTTCTTCTTGTTCGCCAGCTGTAAACTTTGGCGGAATGGTGTGGTTGTTCGTTCACTCCTGGACTGCAGTCCTGTTCCAGAACTTGAGTGTTGCGTGTGCATCCGTTTGACAGATCTGACTAATTTGTATGCCGACTGTTGGTTGCTTGCCTCTCAGTTAGAAGCACTTCGACTTTGAAGGAAGCTCATAATTAGTCGACTCTTATGACATGCTTTTGGATAGGCAGTGGGTCTATTCTTGTTTTCCCTATAACATGGCCCCGGAACCCACACAGGGATAAAAAATACTGATCTTGATTCCCATTTTGACTCAGTCTGCAATAGGCATCTGGGAAGTAAAGGCAGCCAGATTGGTTTAGGTCTTCTCAAGTCTGTTGATCATGTAGCTCGTCCTGTGCAGAACGTTGCTTTCATCATGCCTGAAACAAACTCGGTCTCTTGCCAGCTCTCCCACTTCATGCCTTTTCCTACCCACAGTGTCACTTATTATATCCTGTGCCTATTTGTGTGCCGGTTGACCTCTGCTCCTCTTTCCAAGTACTACACCTTTTGTTATATTTTTGGGGGGGGGGGGGGGGGGGGCAATCCACTATGGCTCTAGCTATGGCCAAAATATTTCAAGTTTTGGAGAAAAAGTGCTGTTTACCAGCCAGTGTTCCTCGTGAATTGCCTAGATTTTGCCAGCCAAAGAGAATCATTTTGCCAGCCAAAGAGAATCATTTTGCCAGCCAAAGAGAATCATTTTGCCAGCCAAAGAGAATCATTTTGCCAGCCAAAGAGAATCATTTTGCCAGCCAAAGAGAATCATTTTGCCAGCCAAAGAGAATCATTTTGCCAGCCAAAGAGAATCATTTTGCCAGCCAAAGAGAATCATTTTGCCAGCCAAAGAGAATCATTTTGCCAGCCAAAGAGAATCATTTTGCCAGCCAAAGAGAATCATTTTGCCAGCCAAAGAGAATCATTTTGCCAGCCAAAGAGAATAATTTTGCCAGCCAAAGAGAATAATTTTGGCAGAATTAACTGGCTCTTCAGAAAAAGTTTATGCCACCTGTGATGCCTTCAAGTTCATAATTCTGTTTTGTGAACAATGCCAGAATAGATTCAGAGCAGACATTGAAAATTGATGATGGCGTATTTTTACCACTTTACTCCAGCGTAGCTAATTTCATTTCCCATTATTTTTGTATGGATAGTGGAAGAAAACAAACAGAATAGTCCCAAGGCCCCCCCCCCCCCCCCCCCCCCCCCCCCCCCCCCAAAAAAAAAGACGTGAAGTAAAAGGTGACTAATCATATGTTTTTAAAAAAAATAGATTGTGCCGGGCTGAAAAGGTGCAGATATCGCAGCCTAGCTGTAAATTGTAGACCAAATGGCGAACACAGAAAAAGAACTGGGTGGGAGTCAGGACTCCTGCTGCATTTAACTGCAGGGTAAATTCCATTCAGACATGTCAGCTTCAGACACCACCTTGCTGGCAAGAATCATAATGACCTGTCTGAGATGCTGCCCATTGTAGAAGCATTACAAATCCACAGCTCTGGCTGTCCCATTACCTAGACACATTTCCTGCAAGTCTGCATTGTCATTGCTGTAAAGAAGCTTTTCAAAAAGCTTTTGCTTAAATCTTCATCCTTGTTAATTGGGTGTAGGCCTCGGCGGAAAGTCCTGATTGTTCATCCATTTGGACTTTAACGTTATGCCAGAGCCTGAGTTTTGCGTTTACATCTTGTTTTACTGGCGTATTTGTGTGCAGTTGGTTGTTTCTTGCCTCACAGGCTTTGATTGAATGAGGAGCTGATGTAAGAATTGAATAGGACTGTGCTCTCTCATAAGTAAACAGAGCGGGAAACCTTGATGCCATACTAGACAGCATACCGGGAATCGAACCTGTCCCTACTCAGCAACAGATACAGGAGCAATCTAATTTTTACCTAAAAAAGTTAATATTATTTCTCTGTTTCAGACAGACACAAGTTTACCAAGTACAGTCCATACACGATGTTACCACCACCACCACAGACCACATTCAGACTATGTTGGAGCTCCTACTTTCGCACACATCCATGACAGATGGCATTTGTCATCAAGCTTATCCATCTCCAATTTCCAATTTTTCCATTGTCACATAGTTTCGCCAGGCCGACAGTATTCTACAACTCAGGGAGACAGTCCGAAACTTTCAAGTATTTCACTTCAGCCTCATGAACTAGTTTATGAAGAAATGAGTACACTTTCTTCAGACATACGTAAGGTAGTTTAGTTTTGAATTTATGTTGTACCAATAACTCTTCTTCTTCTGCGTTCAACCTTGTTTGGCACAGTATGTTGTGTTTACAGCTAGGCTATAGTTTTGAATTTATGTTGTACCAGTAGCTCTTCTTCTTCTGCATTCAACCTTGTTTGGCACAGTATGTTGTGTTTATAGCTAGGCTGTAGTTTTGAATTTTTGTTGTACCAACAGCTCTTCTTCTTCTGCGTTCAATCTTGTTTGGCACAGTATGTTGTGTTTACAGCTAGGCTGTAGTTTTAAATTTTTGTTGTACCAGTAGCTCTTCTTCTTCTGCGTTCAACCTTGTTTGGCACAGTATGTTGTGTTTACAGCTAGGCTGTGATATTTGTGCCATTGGGTCCAGCACATCCAATTTTTAGCAGACTCTTAATTGCCTTTTACTACATGTTTGTAATGAGGCAGTGGATTTTTCTGTCCCTTCTCAAATTGGACCACGAAAGCTCACTAGGTAAACAAATTCATGAGCTTATTATACAGATGCAGACAAAGACAAGAAGAAGATGTTGAATTAATTTTTAATTCAAGTGCTAATATTTGTTTGGTTTGAAACGATCACTTTACTGACCATCAGGACAGTTCCAGTCTTTTCCTGTCTGTCATTCAAGGAAAATCTGAAGTTGAAAAACTTTATAGCTCAAGCAATGATCCTCCTCCCTCTTTGCCTGCGGTTTCGTATGCTCATATCAGACCATTAGGTGGGTTGCCTCTATGAACTAGCATGTCAGCAGCAGCTCCTTTATGGTTTCCCATAGCTTGCTCTGCACACTTTACTCTTAAGGCCAGGTGTCTTTTCGAAGTTGTAGGTACAGTGGGCAGGTCTGCAGAATGTACTTAGGTGTTTGTGGTCCCTTCAGACAGGCACACAGTGAGGACTGTACAGCCTTTATTTTATACATGTGGTAGTTGAGCCTGCAGTGTCCTGTTCATAGATAGAAAATTGTTGTATGTTGTTTTCTGTTGAGTCTGCTGATATGGTCTTGTGGATGTTTATTGTTTGTTGGTTTGTTTTCTCCACAATTACTTATATTTTCCTTTGATGAGTGTCATCAATTGCTTGCTGCTCTGCTCTGAAGTTTGTTGTTCTAATTTTGAAAATTAGTTTGGAAAAGAAAAAATCTAGTCCATCCAAGGACAAAGAAGCTAAGGCTGGTCTGTCAAGTTGTAAAATACATAGGGGATAGCAGACATACTGATGTTTTCTGTCTAATTGTAAAATTTAGCCTGGAAAAAAATTCCAATTCATACAGGAACAAAGAAAATAATGCTAGTCATCAAGCTGTAAGTGGATATGTATATTCTCATCAAAAAAAAAAAAAAAGGAGAAAGCAGACATTTCTAAAGCGCAGCTGCGTGTTGAAAACCATTTCCTGTTACTATTGTGCTAGGAAAGCAAAATATTTTCCACAATAATGGCTTTACTTGTGTTGTTGCAATAGTTATGAAGATTGGTATCGCATCCCTTGCCTTATGTACCAATGGCATGAAAATGGTCTGTGTTGAATGTTTGTAACAGTATGGATAAAAACGGACCTGTTTTATAATTAGAAAAGGTGTTCTCATGCATTTATACTAGTTTTGTTTATGCTATGTGCCAATCAGAATTTTGCAGACATTTTGCAAAAACTACGCATGGAAGCATATCTTGTTACCGTTTTGATGATTAAGGAAGGCAAATGTTTTACTTTGATGGTCTTGTTTGTGTTGTAAAGTAAAAAAAAGATTAAGCCCTCTTCCACAACTTTAAGCATATAGGGCTAGGCCTATATTTTGTAGTCCAATCGGCACTCGGTGGGTGATGTGGTCAGCATCATACCGGCCACCTTTACTTCCCAGGACTGTACCTGGTACCCACTCAAGTCTAGGTCGACCTGGGAGCCAGGGACATTTTTGAAAAAAACCACGGCCTTCCGATCCGAAGGCGAGCATCTAGCTGTTACACCATGGCGGCTGCCTTGTTTGTGCCTAGACTTCTAGATTTCATAATAACTTGGGTTCTGTTTTCTATCTGACGTTATTTTACAGGAACTTTTCACAGAAGAGCTTCAATTGAGATCCATGTCTCATTACTACTTTGATGGCAAAGGCAGAAGATTTTGCCCTCTGCTGACCTTTATTATGTCAAAGACTTGCAATATTCATAACAGCTTGGGGGATAGGTAATATGCTTTTTATTATAAAGGGTTTTCACAGCGGATCAAAGCGGCTTGAGTATTTTATGCATGTTTTTTTTTTTTAAATGATTTTTATTGTCATAATAAAGCAAGTAACTTTGCACTTTACTTCAAATCTGTGGCCCTGTTCATCTGATTTTGACAATCATTTTGTCATGTTTCCTTTCCCTAGCTTTTTAGCCGTTTCTCTTTCAGAACATTTAGGCTACCTATTTTGACTGTATAACGTATTCTTCAAAGATGCTCTGTGGAAAATTCCTGTAATATATCATAAAAGAAAAAAAACAGAACCCAGGTTAATATGGAATTTGGAAGTTTTCAACACAAAGACCAACAAAGTATTTTTGCATTATATAATCATCAAATTAGTAACAAGACATGTTTACCTACAGTAGTTTTGAAAAATGTCTACAAATCCCACAAGGCAGCTAGATTGTCTCCTTCCTTTTCTGGCTCATTTTCCTTGATCTGTCTGACCAGAAAGAGACCCAGCCAGTAGTTAAACTACCATCAGCATAGCTCTGGAAGCCTTTGGCACTTTCAAGCCCATCTACCACACCAGGGTGGAAACACCCTGGCGGAGAAATTTTATAATGAAGAACTATGGTTATGAGCAATGTCTCAGTGATAAAGGGAACATATTTACCCGCCTTCTGATTGCTGTGATGATTTACACTGACACATGAGTTCTTGTGATAAGATCAACCAGTTTTTTGTGTTCCTGTATAGTTCCCAACAACTTTGTATATTCCGTTGACTCACTGAGCCAGTATTCTTTTCCTAATGGGCAGGATCTTTTCTGTGGGTTGTATGCATAACTCACATGGACACTACCTAGAGATGAAGCCTGGACATATGTATGCTTGTTGAGTTTGCCCTGCCCCACTTAGAATGATGACCTGTCCATGCCAGTGAAGTAAAATGGTAGAGATTTGTCCTCTTATGACCTTTCTTATGTTGAAGACTAGCAACGTCCATTACAGCTTGGGTTCTGTTTTCTGTCTTACAATATTTTATTAAAATGAGGTAATCACAAAGCAGATGTGAAGTTCTAGACAAGCGGTTCGCAACCTATGGGTCGTTACCCTTTTGGGGGTCAAATGCGTTCACATGGGTCACCTAAGACCATAGTAAAACATGTATTTACTGAAGTAATGAAGTAGCAACGAAAATGATTTTATAGTTGGGGGTCACCACAGCATGAGGAACTTTGTTAAAGGCTAGCAGCATTATGCAGACACGAGAACCACTGTTCTAGACCAAAGCTATTCATTCAATTGGCAGCCTGCAGGCCTAATCTGGCCCTCGGAAGCCTACCAAGTGGCCCGTTGATCACCTACCCATTGTATTCATGATCTTGGCCAGCGATGATCCCCATTTTCCAACAGTTTTGTCCCCCCGAGTAAACTTAGTTCTAGACCACAACATAATGTGGCATGGTGGCCAAAAGCTTTTTCCCTAACACTTTCCCACGCCACCTGACATCCACCCCCTCTACCCACACACACAATTTCTGAAAATTGATGATATTTTACAGGAACTTTCCACCGAAGAGCCCCAGTTGAGAACCATGTCTCATTACTACTTTGATGGTAAAGGCAAAACATTTCGTCCTCTGGTGGCTTTACTCATGTCCAAGACTTGCAATATTCATAATAGCTTTGGAGATAGGTAATATTGTGTATTGTTTTATATTATGCTAACAGGTGTGCAGTTATAAAAGGTTTCCCTGTGGCAAATACTGGTGCAGTAGTTTAAAGTAAAAAGAGTTGCACAGGTACTATCTTCATCAAGTGCCTTGCCGACTGGCATGGGCAGTCGTGCCTATCCACAATCTACGATCCGCAAATGCTTGTATAAGTTCATGTGCTGACACCCCTCCATGCCATGACAAAAAAAAACTGTCAAAAATTCTCTCACACTCTCTTCCTCTTTCTCTCTTTCCACAGATCTTTCCAGTCAATATATTCTGTTTTCCCTCTTCTCATAACATCACCATAAAATGATGACTGTCTTTTTCTAAATTTTATGATAAGTTGTCTTTGATCACTTGTCTCTTTCAAAACATCTGAGTTGCTCTTCTTAGCTGTCCAGGAAATTCTAAGGATTGTTCTGTAAAACCACATCTCTAAGGCCTCAAGATATTGTTTGGCTTGGTAATTGTCCAGGCTTCACAGCCGTATGTTAAATCTGGCTCTTTAGAGCATGCAATAATTCTTTTCCTAACCTCCAATTACATGGATTTATTTAACAAAATGTTCTTCATGTTGTAAAAATGCAGTTTTGGCCTGTTCTGTTCTGTTCTTTATTTCTGTGGTACATCTTCCATCGGATGTTATCCATGTGCCTAGATACTTAAATTTCTGTACTATTCTTAAAATAACGCCTTAGACTTTTATTATACATTTTTAGGCACTATTCTTTTCTTGGAAATCGCTATTACTTCTGTCTTTACATTATTCAAACTGAGGCCCATTTTATAACTTTTTACCACCACTGTATCTATCAATTTCTGTAGTTCTTTCTGACTTGTCGCTATCAAGATGGTGTCATCAGCATAACGTAGGTTGTTTATGTTATGACCACCAACCACAATTCCTGCACAAATAGTCTGCAATGAGAATTATAATTTAGCGTGACCAGCTCTCTTTCTGCCTGGAGAAACATTTTGTGGCTTTTTTTATTTTGTTGAGTGATCGTGTGTTGTTCCTCTGTCACCATGTGTACGCCAGAGAAAATGTAACACCGATACTTTGGAAGAAAGCATGCTCGGAGAAGCTGCTGGTTCAGAAGAGAGTGCTTTATCTGTCCACCTGTAAAAGTTTTCCCCATAGACCAGCTGCCAACCATGGCTGAGAGCTGGGTCTGAATTCCAATATTGTACTGTCTCCACGTCAGCATCTGTGGCTTAGGCTTTGTAATCCCGGGGTGCCAGGTTTGATCCCAGCTGCTGACAGTTTGTCTTGCGTCAGTTTTGACAGTGGGTCTGGCAAACTATTGAACTTATTGTGCCTAGAAAAACTACAACAGCCAAAAAAAAGCTGGGGTTGGTTCTGCAGCAGCCTGTAAAGGAGACACAGCTTTAGACTGTCTCCACAGTAGAGGTTTACAGCAGTGGATTCACTGCCTAATTTGGTAATATAGGCCATGATGATTTCTTTTGTGAGCCTATGACCAGAGCATCATGTGTTGGCTGTGCATTTACGGAAGCCTCCTTTGGATGGTGGGGAATGCTCATGGTCTGCCCCTACCTTCCCTTGTTGGTTGACCAGTTTACACATGGGTACCCTGGATGGTGGGGAATGCTCATGGTCTGCCCCTACCTTCCCTTGTTGGTTGACCAGTTTACACATGGATACCCTGGATGGTGGGGAATGCTCATGGTCTGCCCCTACCTTCCCTTGTTGGTTGACCAGTTTACACATGGGGACCCTGGATGGTGGGGAATGCTCATGGTCTGCCCCTACCTTCCCTTGTAAGTTGACCAGTTTACACATGGGGACCCTGGATGGTGGGGAATGCTCATGGTCTGCCCCTACCTTCCCTTGTAAGTTGACCAGTTTACACATGGGCACCCTGGATGGTGGGGAATGCTCATGGTCTGCCCCTACCTTCCCTTGTTAGTTGACCAGTTTACACATGGGGACCCTGGATGGTGGGGAATGCTCATGGTCTGCCCCTACCTTCCCTTGTTGGTTGACCAGTTTACACATGGGTACTCTGGATGGTGGGGAATGCTCATGGTCTGCCTCTACCTTTCCTTGTTGGTTGACCAGTTTACACATGGGTACCCTGGATCGGTTCTTCAGAAGCAACACGTGTAGATAAGGGAACAAAAAGAAGCACAAGTAAGTCTAGGCCATGTCCCACAAAACTGTCCGGGAAGTTAATCGGGTCAACAAATGTTTGATGAGATCAGATGTGTTAGTCGAAAATATAGCAGCTAGGCTGAAAACAGGCACAGCTCAGCTACATCTTTGTGGAAGAGGGAAAAGGCGAAGATTTGTTAGTATTGCATAGTAAGACCAAATCGCTTTTGCTGTGCGACTCTCATACCACTATATGAAAGCCATGGGAATATTTATTCGTAACCATCCACTGAAGATATTGAACCCTGGATTGCCAAGGATTGCAGTATGCGCGTACTGACCTCCACAGTGCAGCACATAAGCCTGGTCTACCATTCTTTCAGAATTCTTGCATGTTATATAGAGCAAGTATTAATATCTTGATTGAAATCCTGAACAGTTAGTGAAGGGGCAAACAAAAAATCTCTTGTGGTCCCAGATTGCTGAATATTCCTCCCTCGGACAGATGAAATAAGTAATCTAAATGTTTTGAAAGAGGCTTGTGAATAAAGAAAACCGTTTATCACAAAATTCATAATGGTAAACATATATTATTTTAGGGCCTTCTTTTTGCACAAAACGCAGGAACCAGGTTTGGCAAAATATGTCCCAAAAAATGTTATATGAAGAGTGTAAGATGAGGTCCTTACTGGCATTGTTGGTTTTAGACCCCCATTTTGTAGAGGGGGGGGGGGGGGGGGGGGGGGGGGAGGGAGAAAGACTAGCTGGACACTAATCAGCATTTTGTAAAATGTGGCTTGTTAAGGATTTGCTGAAATGAGATGTGTGGTACCGAAAGGCAGAGATATCGCAGCTTAGCTGTAAACCACAACACATATGCCAGCTGCTCTTTTAAGAGCGAATGCAGAAGAAGAAGATTCTTAATAGCCTTGAAGAGTGTTTTGATAAAATATTAGCATGTTTTTTTAAATATGTCATGATATTTAAATATATATAGATTTTTTTTTTAAATGATCACTTACCTGTGGGAACACTTCCCTGTGGGTACAATTTCTTGTGGGTACACTTCCCTGTGGGTACAATTTCTTGTGGGTACAGTTCCCTGTCGGTACACTTCCCTGTGAGTACACTTCCCTGTGAGTACACTTCACTTCCCTGTGGGTACACTTACCTGTGGGTATCTAGACAGAAAGCTATTTCACTGATATTGATGTCCTTCTCAGTGTTTCAGAATCCCAGAGGATCATTGCCATCGTAACGGAGATGATACACACGGCCAGCCTGGTGCATGATGATGTTATCGATGCCGCAGACACTAGAAGAGGCCAGTCTAGTCTCAATAAACTCCATGGTCAACGGCTGGTGGGTTACCTGCGGTTAGCGCCTGGTAGTTTTGGTAATACAGACCAAACCGACCAACCATTTCTTTTAATTAGAATGTTCCTTCCCTTTTATTACATTGTCCCTTCCATTTAATGATAGTATTTCTTACATTTGATTTCATCTTCCTTCCATTTAGTGGTGTTCCTTCTATGGAATTATTGTTTTCTCTATATTAAATTACAGCATTCCTTTAATTTAATTATAACATTCTTTACATTTAATTACTGTATACCTTCATTTAATTACAGTTTTCCTGCCATTTAATTACAATATTTCTTCCATTTAATTACTGTGTACCTTCATTTACTACAGTGTTCCTGCCATTTAATTACAATATTCCTTCCATTTAATTACTGTGTACCTTCATTTAATTACAGTTTTCCTTCCATTTAATTACCTTGTTCCTTTCTTGTGGTGATATCTCATTCTATTTAACAGTGATTTTCCAGATTGTCATTACTCTCTTCCTGCTGCGTACATTTAATGTGCATTCCATTTACTTAACATTTTGCAATTTTAATTTGTACAGTTTTAATTGAAAGTTTTCTTTTAGCAGTCACTTTTCTTTTTCTCTGCAGCCCATCCTGGTTGGTGATTTCATTTTGTCCCGGGCCTCCATTGCGCTGGCTCGAACCCGAAACACACAAGTCATCACTCTGCTCTCTGCTGTTATTGAGGATTTGGTTAGTGGTAAGTGTTTTATGGATGAGAGACATATTTTTCTTCATATTCGGTGCTCATAGAGGGCCTTAAAAACTCTAGAACTGCAACTTAGACCTTTAAGGTTGTGAAAAAGAGAGACACTTTTAAGAAAGGTGGTTAAATGCTTGAAATTGTCCCCACAGAATCAAGGAGATCGAAAGTGAAATCAAAGAATTCATTGTAGGGCATGAGCGTTAGCAGTTAGGTTTATTTTTGGTTACTGTCATTGTTTTAAATGTGTCTAGTCATTTCTGGTTAGCATCATGTCGTCCATTGTTCTTATTGTTATTGCATTGTTCTCATTGTTATTGCATTGTTCTCATTGTTATTGCATTGTTCTCCTTGTTACTGAATTGTTCTCATTGTTATTGCTTGTGGCATGCACAGTGGAGAGTTAGAGTTCATTGAATGCTTAGTACTTCATTCTACAATTTAACTGGCTTCTGATTTCAGCTAAAAGTGTTAGATATGCCTAACTGAAAAAAAAATTGGATATTAGTTGGACGATGTCGGGCAGTAGAAGCTTTACAGTGAGGATTTAAAATTTCCTAGAAAAAAAAAATTCTGTCATCTTACTGAGGATTCAAACTCTGCTGCCCTGAATGAGAAACCAGCATCTTAACCACTAATCAACCGTTTGAATGCCATTACCTTGTAGTGGTTGGGGAGCTTGAGAGCCTCAATGATCTAATGAGCTATGCCGGCAGGAACGTATGTTACTGGCAGGGTTACCCAAGCCGGACAGGTCATTGGTGAGAGGCCAGACTAAAGATGGTCTCCCGGTCCTCCAGGTTCGGGGGTTGGGCGCAGTGTTGACAGCTCTGCCCTGTAAAAAATCTACAACGTTACTGAAACTCCAAGAGGAAATAAGTGCTCTAAACGTCCGGCGGTCTTGGGACAGAGTCCCTCTGTCAGCATGAACAACATGGGTGAAAGCTGAAAGGAAGCCCATGATGGGAAAACAAGTCTGCTGGATGTCAAAACCAAATTAAGAATTGGCTTCTGGAATGTAAGAACCATGTTTGAAATAGCCAAAACCGTCCAAGTAATTAAAGAAATGCAGAACTATAAACTGCATATTCTTGGAATTAGTGAAAGCAGGTGGACAGGGTTTGGACAATCCACAACAGGTACAGGAGAAACCTTAATATACTCTGGAAGAGATGATAACCTACATTCTTTCATTTTAAAGAAAGGTATTCACAAACTCACAAAACTCAAGATCTTCAATTCTTGTGTGATTCCAGTACTAACCTATGGATGCGAGAGCTGGAAATCAACGAAAACTCTAGGCACAAAATTAGACAGTTTTGAAAATAAATGCCTTAGAAGAATACTAAATTTCAAATGGTCAGATTTCCGAACCAGTACACAAATAAGGCAAGAATCCAGGCAAGAGTATGTGTCTAATTTTATACGAAAACGCCGCTGGAACTATGTCGGCCACGCCCTTAGAATGGATAAATCAAGACTTCCTTACCAAGCCCTCATTTGGACACCACAGGGGAAAAGATCTCGTGGAAGACCAAGGGAAACTTTACGTAGAACTATCATCAGGGAAGGCTCGCTCATGGGCCACTCAAACATCCAAGACCTACAACGGATTGCAACGGACCGCCGTGCATGGAGAGTCATGACCTCTGCCCTATGTGCCGCACTCGACACAAGAGGAAAGACTAACTAACTAATTCACAAACATCTCATCGAGTGGCATCCAATTAGTGAGAGAATTATGACAGCACGATTCAATGGGAATCATGCCAAACTTACAATTATCCAATGCTACGCACCGACTAATGAAGCTGAAGCTGAAGATAAAGAAACATTCTATAGGAGACTGCAAGAGGTAGTAGATAAAGTACCAGCCCATGATATTCCATGCATTATGGGAGATCTCAATGCAAAAGTTGTTAACAACAACTTGAATAGAAAACTATCAATGGGAAATCAAGGATGTGGTACAATTAATGACAACGTGGAAAGACTGAGTGACTTCTGCACAGCGAACACTGTTCCCTCACAAGAATATACACAAGCTTACATGGATATAACCAAATAGAAGAGATGTAAACCAGATCGACCATTTCATGGTAAACAGAAAATGGCGTGGGTCCCTACTCGATGTGCATGTCAAAAGGGGAGCAGACGTAGGAAGCGATCATCACCTTGTAGTTGCTCTACTACGACTTAAACTAAAAAAAGTTTACACGCAAGTTAAAACACGGACAAACCTTTTAAGAGAAAAAGACATTGCCACTAAATTTATAGTAGAACTCAAGAATAGATTTCAAACCCTATCAAGTGACCCAGACAGTCAAACTGCAATCAGCATTCAAGACAGATGGAACCAGATCAAAGAAACATACAAATCAACTAGCAACAACATATTAGGAACCAGGAATCATCATCACAAAGAATGGATTAGCAGTCAAACCATGGACTATATTGCCAAGCGAACAAGAATAAAGAGCCTCATAAATCACACTAAATCAGAACGTCAGAAAGACAAACTAATGTTAGAATATAGCGAACTAAATAAAATGACAAAGAAAAGTGCCAGAGCTGACAAAAAAATATTTATGGAAAATCTAGCAGAAACAGCAGAAAATGCTGCTAAAGCAGATGATCTACAAACCCTACACAAAATTACCCAGCAAATTTGCGGAAGCAGAAACAATTATCATAGCATACCCATCAGAGATAACCAAGGCTCACCACAGAACAAAAACAAGACATGCAGTGGACTAAATACTTCTCCGACCTCTTGAACAGACCCGATCCTGAAAATCCCCCAGATATTCAACCAGTCTCTCAGGACATTGACATCATTACTGAACCACCAAGCAAACAAGAAATCCTTAAAGCTATCCACACTTTAAAGAACAACAAAGCACCAGGCAAAGATGAACTGCCAGCAGAACTTCTCAAAGTAGATCCCAACACAACTGCTAGCATTTTAGAACCATTGTTCAAGGATATTTGGGAAAAAGAAGTGTTGCCTGATGACTGGACTGAACGAACAATAGTCCAAATCCCCAAAAAAGGAGACTTAACAGACTGCAATAATTGGAGGGGAATTACTCTGCTCTCAGTATCAAGCAAAATATTTTGTCAAATTATCATAATGCGGCTTGAAAAAGGAGTAGATAAATGCCTACGAGTAGAACAAGCAGGATTCAGAAAGGGCAGAGGAACAACTGAACACATCTTCGCCATACGTAACATTTTAGAACAATGCAATGAATGGCAGAGAAGTATATATATAAATTGTGTGGACTTTGAGAAAGCTTTTGACAGCGTCCATAGAGACAGTCTATTGAACATTTTACGACATTATGGAATTCCAGAAAAAATAGTCAACATAATTGCTCTCTTCTATAAAGACTTTTCCTGCAGTATAAAAAATTACAATACATCTTTCCCAGTAAAGACGGGTGTAAGACAGGGATGTGTTATGTCATCTCTCCTCTTCAACCTTGTGATTGATTGGATACTAAAGAACACAGTAGACAGGACATTAAGAGGCGTACAATGGACTCCATTCACCATGCTTGAGGACCTTGATTTTGCAGATGATATAGCACTCCTATCACATACACATGAACATATACAAGAAAAAAGTAACACACTACACAGCACAGCAGAAATGGTGGGACTGAGAATAAATACAAAGAAAACTAAGATCATGACAAACAGTCCAAACCAACAACCAGTGATCATAAATAACCAAACTCTTGAAAATGTAGAACATTTCACATATCTTGGCAGTGTGGTGTCCCTACCGGAAGGGACCGAAGAGGACATACAGTCACGTCTGAACAAAGCTAGAGCTGCTTTTGGAAGGATGAGGCAAATCTGGAAATCCAACAATTACTGCAGAGGAAACGAAACTCCGACTCTACAAGAGCATCATTTTGCCAGTTCTTCTTTATGGAGCGGAATGCTGGAGAATGACCAAAAAGGATGCACACAAACTGTCCATCTTCCACCACACATGTCTACGTAGAATTATCAAAATTTTCTGGCTAGATACAATCTCAAATACTAAACTACTTCAAGTCACAAACCAAGAAACTTTAGACAGTATGATAACCAAGAGAAGATGGAAATGGCTTGGCCACATTATGAGAATGAATCCTGATATACCCGCCAAAACAGCTCTCACATGGACACCAGAGGGAAAGAGAAAACAGGGGTGCCCAAAAACAACATGGAGATGAATGATGGAAAGTGACCTGAGTGCGGCATCTTTGACATGGAAAACTGCACTGAAGATTGCGCAGGACAGGAAAGCAAGGAAAGTCCTCTCTGAAGCCTCATGTGCCACTAGGCATAACGAGAACTGAACCGTTTGAATAAATTTAATTACCATAATTATTGTTGAAAAATATTAGTGAAGCGTTTAGGGACATTAATTTGCTGATGGGGTCATTGAGTTTTTCCTTGAAACTATTTTCAGGAGAGTTTATGCAACTTGGTTCAAAGGAGAATGAGAATGAACGTTTTTCTCATTACCTGAAAAAAACATACATGAAAACAGCCAGTCTTATTGCAAACACTTGCAAATCTGTAAGTATGTGGTTGTTTATTCCATGTACATTATTTTGTGTGCTTTATTTTACAAATATTGCAAGTTTGTGTGTGTGTTCAGCTTTTGTTGTTGTTGGGTTTATTGTTAATGCAGCCAGAAAAGAAAAATTAGTTACCATGAAACAAGATGTCTGAAAGGGGCTGCTGGAGTGACCAGAAGAGATAAAAGTCAGGAAGAAGGTTATTTAAAAAACTAAGTCGTCACAGGTCCACTTCTAAATTGCATGCAAAGACAGCAAATCAGATAGTTTGCCCGCGCAGAGAGAATTCCCTGTGGTGCCATACAATACAAGGCATACATCAAAAGAGGAGAATTGATGTGGAACACAAGGTAGACCAAGAACAAGATAGAAAGATAACATCAGAGGAACTACAACAGCACGATGTTTCTATGGTTGAGGTGGCCAGAAGAGCAAGTAAGAGAATCTGAAGCGGTGAAAGAGGAAGTGAAGAAGAAGAAGAAGATTGTTAATGCAAGTCTATACAATGCAGACCTGATAAGGAGAATTCACTAGGGATTCAAGAAATGGTCCTTCTTAACAGAAAGTCCTCTTGTAGAGAAAAGAGTTCAAGCTGGAAACATTGCTGAGGATGAACAAATTGTTCTTTACAACAGAAATTCACCACATCCGAGATCGCTTTACGAGGTGTGCACACTATATGATTGATGTCTAGTTCTCAGTATATTAAAGCAATGGTATATTTGTATGTAGCGGCACTTCTATCAGTGTATACGTCTGTGTTGGTTACAACAATGATTTGTTTAACTTTGTTTTTATTATCTCAGAGCCTGGGGGCATAGACACCTTGCCATGCCCCCCCCCCTCCCCCCGCAATTCTTTTAGGAAGGCTTGTGTCCCTCCCCTCCCCCCCTCCCTCCAAACCATGTATAAAAGTTAACAGTTTAACTATTTGGGTACCTCTGAACACATAATCCTTTACATTATAACTAATCTTAACTGTCACTTTGGTAACAAAAAGTTATGTTTTGTTTTTTGTTTATACATAAAAAAAATTATTTCAGATTTGTAATATATAGAAGACACAAGGTTAGACAAAATAACATGTGTAGGAAGTGTCAGTGAGGAATTAGGTGTGGATCAGGCAAGGAGGGACTTATGAGAGGAAGAGAGCGGAGAGTTTATAATCAATTTGCTATGGGAATAGTTAGCATCGACACCTTAAGAATTTACTGCGGGAGACGGAGCACCTGTGAAAATTTCCTGTGTGATATTAAATCAGTAAAATTAAAAATATAATTATATTAATTTGTCATTTAGCATATTATAATTGTTAGACATTTTGGGGCGGATGGGGGCTAAAAAATACAACTCCCTCCCCCAAATGTTTGTCCTTGTTCCAGTGCTCATGCTACTTCTATCATGCCTGTGTTAGATACGACTGAGCTACCTTGTAACAATAGAGGGTTCTGTGTGTTCCCTGTTAACACCAAATATTTGTAACCTTCGGGGTGCTATGTGGTCTCGAGGCATAGCGTCCCGGGTTCAAGCCCTGGTGAAGGCTGAGATTTTTTCACTTGGACTTCTAGTAATTTTCCCCTGGTCTCTGGGTAGTGAGACCAAACGCCCATGTGTGTTGTTGCGCACGTAAAAAAATCCCCGGCCAGTTGGAAATTATTTTTAAAAAAAGCCTAGCAGCGCTGCCCGGGCAAAATTTGAATTTGAAGTCTAGCCAAAGTATTTCGGTATCCTTGCTGGTGCTGGGAGCTCATGTATTGTGCTGAGATTCTTCGGACTCAGGCTTGTGTTAGAAGTAGAACGGAGCACTTATGAGTTACTACCCTTGTGCCTTGATGTTGATCTATCATATAAACAATAACTTGTAATTATGGTGCTGTTTCAATAGATTAAGAAAAATTATGCCCTTATTCTGAAGTCGTGAGCTTAAGCTATATTAAGGCAGTTAGGGCACCTTTTAGTAGGATTCCTAAGTTAGTCATAGGTCTTTTAGTACACTTGTACCTTCAGCGAGGCGTTGTCGTCATTTGGAACTGACAGGTTCTATTTCTGACATGGAATCACTCTAGCTTTAAATTTTCACGTTGTCTTTATAGATTTCTACTTTATTTTGTTATGATATTAACATATAATGTTGGGCGATATTTACCAAACCTAACATCTCACATTGTGCCAACAACTTCAGGTGGAGGAGAGCAACTTGGAGGCAAGCTTTTTCATAGAAAGAGGAAATGTAACTTGAAAATTTAATGTTAATGCAACACAGACCAGGCCCATAGCCATGATTGGAAGCTTGTCTAGGAAGAAAGCTCAAAAAGGCTGACAAAGCATTACTCTTCTGATTTGGTACTTCTGCAGCATGCTTTGTTTCAAACATACTGGTGTTACTTTTTCTTTGTAGTAAACAAGGTAAACTGAGACAAGGATCATGCTGCAGGGACAGCACAGGCTCACTATAATACTACCAAGGTTTTTTGCTGTGGAGAGGAGAAACTTTATCCTTGGTGGTCATTGTCTGTGATTCTCATGTTGTCTTTAGCACAGTATAACATTATCCTCTCAAAAGTTGCTACCAATAACCAGCTGTTGTAACTTTCGTCGGTTCAGCCACAATATCAGTCTGATTAACATACGTTCACAGGTGGCTTTACTGGCTCCGTGCGAAGAGGAGATGGTAGAGAGGGCTTACCAGTATGGGAGGAATTTAGGCATTGCTTTCCAGGTAAGTGACGTATGTCTGCCAGTGAAAATAACGGGCTCAAGTCATTTTATACGTGTAGCTTCTTCTTTTCCTTCATCAGAGTGATGTAGTTGCATTGTGCCTGGTTACAGCAAGGGTGTGATCTTTGCGCCTTTTGGCCAACAACATCCAACTTCGTCGTAATGACAGAAGAATATGATGTTGAAGATGATAATCATTGATCCTCATAAACTTATCTTATTAATTCAGCTCTTTCAGAAAAGGTTTTTTTTTTGAGTTTGGAAGAGAATTAATGTTTACCCTTGGCTCCACATCACATATGTAACGTTGAACTTTCACTAGCTAAACAAAATGGCGGGTTACTTGTTCTGCTGACCGGACAGCATAACAATTTTGCCAGATCATAGATGCCTGTTTAGATGATATGCTTTGCTTCATGAATGATATTTTTGGCCATAATAAAATTGTCTTATTATTTAGTTGTCGGACTGTGTATTGACATGTCTAAACAGCCTAATGATCTTGATATCATCAACATCTGCCCTGCCAGTAAACATAGGCAGTCATTGTTAGTCATCTCACACAATCACCGGAATCATGGATCAGGTCACTGTTCTTGTCCAACACAAACCATTCATGTATTTATCACTTTGTTTTCTCTGAACTCCATCCAATCATTCTAAACGGCTTTACTATCTCTTGAGAACCACATTAACTGTCTAAATGTCTCCAATTCCTCTAGGGGACAAAACATGTAACACAGTTTTTGTCTAATATTTCTAAGTTTCGGCCCTTACCATTCGCAGCTCTTTCTGGCTACTATTTATTTCCAGCACTTACACATGTGTCAAAGATTCTCTTACACATGTGTCAAAGATTCACTTACACAAGTGTCAAAGATTTGCTTACACATGTGTCAAAGATTCGCTTACACATGTGTCAAAGATTCACTTACACGTGTGTCAAAGATTCACTTACACATGTGTCAAAGATTTACTTACACATGTGTCAAAGATTCACTTACACATGTGTCAAAGATTCACTTACACATGTGCCAAAGATTCACTTACACATGTGCCAAAGATTCAATTACACGTGTGTCAAAGATGCACTTACACATGTGTCAAAGATTCACTTACACATGTGTCAAAGATTCACTTACACATGTGTCAAAGATTCACTTACACATGTGTCAAAGATTCACTTACACACGTGTCAAAGATTCACTTACACACGTGTCAAAGATTCACTTACACATGTGGTCAAAGATTCACTTACACACGTGTCAAAGATTCACTTACGCATGTGTCAAAGATTCAATTACACATGTGCTAAAGATTCACTTACATATGTGTCAAAGATTCACTTACACACATGTCAAAGATTCACTTACACACATGGTCAAAGATTCACTTACACATGTGGTCAAAGATTCACTTACACACGTGTCAAGGATTCACTTACACACATGTCAAAGATTCACTTACACATGTGTCAAAGATTCGCTTACACATGTGTCAAAGATTCACTTACACATGTGTCAAAGATTCAGCTGGCCAGACAGACATAGGATTCCTCTCGGAGAATGTTGAATTAAGAATCAACATCATAGCACTTGGGACACTCCCATAAGTGAGACGTCCCTATCTTCAGCAACAAACTTTTTGTGCCTCCTTACTGTTCACATGCTCCTAATGGGCCCTCATTACATCTAGCTTGTCATACATCCATTCACCACCAAGTAGTGCAGAACCGGCCAGTCTATCTGCCTGCTTATTTTCCACTACACCAGCATGACCTGGAAAAAATATCAAAAGGACGCTAACTACCCCAGATCTCAATGCTTTTTGTCTGCACGGAGCATGCTTGTCTCCACCTTTCTCAAATACTCTGTGAGTCAGTTACAATTTGTACAGCTAATTCTCAAGCCAGCGGAAGGCAGAAGCCTCCACCTCCATTTCAAACCAGACATCTTCTCTCGGAGACACTTGAGTTAACCCTACCAGACCTGAGGCCCTGAACCTAACTGTCCCTATAACCTGGGCATTACCGCGAAAAAAACCAACATGATATACACAAATTTTAGTTACATGCAAACGAGTGGCTAGAATATGATGAAACTTGGAGACATTGTAGAAAATAGGCTTACCTTTTATCTAGCGCCAATATTCCACCTTTGTGTGCGAATCCACTCATCAGGATCAACTTTGTTTCACAAAGTGAACACCAGATGTCACTGTTTGAGGGACACACCCCCTTCTCCTACTATAGATCTATTTCAAGGTTTATAATTTTCAAGATTTTCCTCATCATTCGCGCTCTCACTAACAGTGTCACTTCAAGACCGTATTCTTTATGAAATTATTACCCCGCAGAGTCTGAATAAACCAAAGTATCGATCACCTGTTGGACTGTGAAACGCCTAGAACTTGGTTCATCAGCCGCACTTTCATTGTGAATTTTCAGAATTTTTCCACGTAAAACAACACAAATATAATCCAAACACATACGGGCAGACATTTGCAATGTCTAGCAAAGAGGATTTATAACGATTGGGTGGTTATTTTTAGTCCATGACGCATCTTTACCTCGTACTACGCAAAAAGCTGAAAATTAGGGCCAGCGGTATAGGGTCAGGTTAAGAAATTCCAGGAAAACCGGGCCAGCGGTCTGGTAGGGCTAAGTGTTTTTGTGTATTATAGCTGATAAAGGCTTTCTAGCTGCAGCGTTCATGTCTGTGATAATGTGAAACTGACTGGTTCTGCATTTCGTTTGGTTGATATCTTTTGACCATCTTACTAGAGCCACATAATCCTGCTAACATGATTGTAACCTAATGGTTTTCAGTTGATCGATGACCTGCTGGACTTTGTGTCCTGTGAATCTGTGATGGGGAAGCCGACGGCCGCAGACCTGAAGCTTGGTCTGGCTACTGCTCCAGTCTTGTTTGCAGCTCAAGAGGTAATTTTTTCATTCGGACAATAAAGTAGAAGTAAAGGACCTTTTTCCACGCCTCTAGACATATTGGGTGTATAATGCCAGATCCGAATTGTATTTGAGCAAAGTTGAGTTGAGTCAAGAATTGACATCACGGCAATTGGGGCATTCCTATGTGTGCGTCTTCACATTCACCAGCTGTAAACTCTGGCGGAAAGTTCTGGTTGTTCATCCACTTTTGGACTGCAGTCCTGTTCCAGAACCTGAGTTTTGCGTGTGCATCCGTTTTACAGATCTGACTCATTAGTATGCAGACCACTGGTTCCATGCCTCTCAGGCAAATGCACTCTGTTGAAGGAAGCTTCCAGTTACTGAACTCTTACGACATGCTTTTGGGCAGGCAGTGGGTGTATTATTGTTTTTCCCTATAACAGGGCCCGAGAATCCACACGGGGAGCGCAGAGTTCCAATGCTGATGGTACCGGTCATAATCTGGTTGTACGTCTGTCTTACCTTTCCTCTGATTGTAGTGAGCCAGCCAGACCCTCTGGTTACACCCAGGTGCCTCATTCTCTCCAGGCCATAATAATCTTGTTTCTCTACATTTTTCCTCTGGTCGTTGAACAAAGAAGACATAAACAATGAATTGCGGTTTATTGCCTGGCATATTTCACTGTATCTCATCAGGTGCATACCACAGTAACAATTTTACAAGCATGATGCAGCTAAGTGAGTCCTTTATAACTGATACAGTACATATTTTAACTTGCTCAGAACTAGCTGCCTATTTTACCCGGGTAATTGCAGGGTCACAGTCATGTCTTTCTGTTTACACAGTTCTGGATAGGTAACGAATAGTTGCGGCTTCAAGAAATCTGTGGGAATAGAAGAGAAGTGATGTTTGCCCATCTGTCGGAAGCTACCTATGTAAATTAAGGGTCATTGCAACTTGCATGTGTATATCTGTTGATGTTAGGAACATTTGTGCTTGTGTGGTTTCTTTGTTAGTTATAGCTTTTTTTTTCTCTTTGAAACTATTTCATTTCCATTTTCTTCAGTACCCAGAACTTCATCCAATGATAATGAGGAGATTTTCAGGCTCAGGTGATGTGGAGCGAGCTCGTGCTTTAGTGGCAAAGGTAGGTTTGCTCTTACATTGGAGTGTCCATTTTTTGCATGTCCAGTCTTTTCATATCAATTTTCATGTTTGTCATTCGGTAGCTCCGATACATAAGGAGGTGATGGTTCTCATAGCTTTCAGGCAGTGGTATGAGAGTTGTACAGTGGAAGAGACTGGGGTCTCACCATGTAATCTCCCCATATTTAGCAGCGAAAATATTGCAGCCAACTTCCAATGTGTAGATTTCTCTCTCCCCCCCCCCCTCCTCCCCCTACCCCACCCCCTTGTGGGTTTCAAGGTCCCGTCTGTCAGATATGTGAAATGGATGTGCACACAGCACTCAGGTTTCAGAACAAGACTAAAATCCAGAGGTGGGTGAACAACCAGAACTTTCTGCCGTTAACAGCTGGTGAACGCCAAGAAGAAGAAAACAAAATTGTCCTGTTTGCTCAGATACATTACCTTATAATGGGTTCTAATTGCTTTCAGGCAGTGGTATGAGAGTTGCACCGTGGAAGAGATTAAGGCCTCACCACATAATATTACCATAGTTAGCAGTGAGAGTGGATAGACTGAAGCCAGCATTCACTGTGGATCAAAAATGACCTTGACTCCCAGGTACCAGCTGGAGTCCTGGGAAGTAAAGGTGGCCGGCATGATGTCGACCACATCACCCACCGAGTGCCAATTGTTCTATAAAATATAGGTCTAGCCCTATATGCCTGAAGGTGTGGAGGGGGTCCTTCACTTTTGTGTGTGCTTTACTTCATGGTGGAAATTTATTATTTATTTTTATATTTTTCTGCTCTTCACCCCCCCGAGTGGAGCACAGGTTCTCATTTCACTCAGTTTGCCCTGTCCTGTGCTTTTGCATGCAGCTCATCGCATGTCCTCTCTATCTTTTTTAACTCCCTTCTCCGTGTAGTTTTAGTCTGCTTTTATTTCTTTGCCCCCTGTGGGTTCAAGTGTATAGACATTTTAGTTACATTGTTCTCAGTATGTGTCATATCCGACACCAGCACAATTTCTTCACCTCTTTATTCACTGGAATTTGTTTAGTTCTCCCCCAGGGCTCCACATATTGATTTGTTGTGTACACACTGTGCACAGTATTATACACACTGCCACATATTTGTAGATAGTGTTAATTGCCCTCTTTTCTGAAATCCACAGAGTGATGGAGTAGAACAGACCAGACTTCTGGCTACACAACATAGCAAGGAAGCCATCAAAAACATGCAGCACTTTGCCACCTCGGACACACAGCAGGCGCTCATACGACTGGCCACAATTTTGTTAGAGAGAAAACACTAGCCAACCAGGCACAGACATTGTTCTTTTCTGTAGGAAACACTTATATAAATCAATTGTTTTATGGTCCTTGTGCCAACTCTTATAGTCAGATTTAAATTTAACAGCTCCGGGGCTGCTTTTTTAAAAACTTTTCATAAACACTTTGAAAATAATTATTGTGTGAAATTGTATGTGTACTCATCTCTTCTTTGTGGAGTAGAAACCTGGACAGTAAAACAGCAGCTAGAAAATCTTCTTTGCTTCAGCTGCAGACTCCGGCAGAAAGTTCTGGTTGTTCATCTCCCTCTGGACGTTAGTCTTGTTCCAGAACCTGAGTGTTTGTGCACATCTGTTTTACAGGTCTGACTTATTTGTATGCAGACTGTCAGTTCCCTGCCTCTCAGGCAGATGCACTCCGACTTCCAAGGAAGCACCCAGTTAGTCGACTCCTACGACGTGCTTGCTGGGGAGGCAGTGGGTCTATTCATGTTTTTCCCACAGTGAGGCCCCGGAACCCACACGAAACATCAAACGGGAGTCTGTGGTGTGGACATACAGAATAGGACGTATTTCATGGAAACAAAACCAGTCAAACAGAGGTTCTCAAAATATTGGGAATGAAAAGAGGGTTGCTGAAAGAAGTAAAAAAAAAAACAAGATGAAATATTTTGGCCACATTAAAAGACTAACTCTCTTTTAAAAACTAGTGGCAGGAAAATTTGTAAGGCAAGAGTTAGACAATGTTACAAGTGGGAGGACGATATCAAGAGATGGACGAACAGCCGCCTGAGAGTGTACTACTAAGACAAGAGACAGAGAGTGTTGGAGATCTAGTGTGGCCACCCTTAATTGTGTTACACCAGTGGTGTGTGTTTTGGGTTGCTCTCCTTAACGCTGTGTATTTGTGTATAGCAGTGTCTCAACAAATCAAACGAAAGGAAACATATAAGTACTTTGGTGCAAACTTCAACTGCTCCAACACACTAAGAGAAGAAGTACAGTCTAGAGTAGTCTATATTCATATGACGGATCAACATCATAGCACAGGGGTGCAACCCGTAAGTCTTCTGTTCTACTTCTAACCCTAGCCTGAGTCTGAAGAATCGCAGCGCAGTGCACAAACTCCGTTGCACCGGTGAGGATCCTTGAATACTTTTGGGTAGATTTTTAACTCCAAATTTTGCCTGAGCAGCGCCGAAAGGCTAGTCTTTTAGATTTTTAACTACCAAGGCATTTTTTTGTGTGCTCAAGAATACACACAGGCGTCTGATCTTACTACCCAGAGACCAGGGAAAATTACTAGAAGTCCACTTGACAAAATTCCAGCCTTCACCGGGGCTTGAACCAGGGACCTCCAGCACTTGAGGCAGACACCATACCTTGAGACCACTCAGCTCCCTAATCGAGTATACAGTATGGAAATAAAGGATGCCTTACTGCATCTGCTAAAATAAAGTCTCTGTCTCGTAGTTTGAAACACCAAGATAAGAATATATAAAACTCTGGAAAGACCATTTGTTTTATATGGCTGTGAAACTTGAAGCACAACTAGAAGAGATGAAACTTTATTACAGATTTTGCAAACAGTCTTGCAACAAATGTTTGTACCCATCAAAGATGCAAACAGCAGGGGATGGAGAGTAAGAAGCAGCAACAAAATTCATAATCTGTTTAAATCAGCACTGATCACTGGCACCATGAGAGTTAATAGACTGAAATGGCTGGGGCATAATGAGAGAATGTCAGAGAGGTAAAAACTGTATGCACAAGGGAGCTAAATAGTCGTATACCATGAGGCAGACCTAGAAGATGATGGAGAGATAATATCCACACAGACGTACAAACACTTAGTGTCACCAGCTAGGAAAAAAAGAGTACCACCAGAAAGATGAACAAAGGCAGGTGATATCTGCAACATTGAACCTTGAGGGCTCAGAATGCTGAAGAATAAACAAGTCTTTAACAGGTTGGATAGTGAATGTGTTCTGTGACCAGATTATTCATCAGATACACTGTATGTAGAAGTTGTTGTCAGCAAGACTCTCTTTTATACACCTTTGTGATAAGAATTGTTACCATAAGAATTATGATTCATTGCTGTAAAAGATTTCCTATGTAGAATTGTTACCAAAACATTGTGATCGTTATGATTCAGATTTGGTTGTCCATGACGGCATCTGTTGTAATTTCTGGAGATTTGTTGATGTTCATATACTGCTGTTAGTTCTTGTTAGCCATGAGTTTTGTTGGGATTATGGATGGTGAAAACTTAGCCTGAGGCAGACTGGATAATGATAGTGTTGATGGAGGCAGGTCATTGATAATGATAATCTTTCCTGAGGCAGGTCATGGATGTGATAATCTTTCCTGAAGCAGGTCAAAGATAATGATAATCTTGCCTGGAGAAGGTCATTGATAATGATGGTCTTGCCTGGAGAAGGTCATGGATAATGATGATCTTGCCTGGAGCAGGTCATGGATAATGATGATCTTGCCTGGAGCAGGTCATGGATAATGATGATCTTGCCTGGAGCAGGTCATGGATAATGATGATCTTGCCTGGAGCAGGTTACTGATGTGATAATCTTGCCTAGGGCAGATTGTGAATTGTAATCCAGTCTGAGGCATGTCATGGATTGTAATCTTGCCTAGGGCCGACAATGGATGATAAATTTTGCCTGTGGCAGATCATGTGGTGACTTTGGTTGAAAAAAATCACGCTGAAATTAGCATTCTGTTGGCAGATAATCATGAATGGCACTGACATCTGCAGTAGATCATAGATGGGATTGACTGTAGATTATACTGTGTTTATAGATTGGAGATGAGTCAGTGAAATTATAATCCACTTTAGTAGATCATGTGTGACAGCTGGCAAAATTATATTTTATATCAAGTAGATCATGAGAGGGAAATTATTTTTAAGTAGATTATGGATGATTTAGCACATTTGTCATCTGCATTAAGGAGGGTATGGGAAGAGTACAATTAAAATAAATCTTTATAGTTAGATATAGGTTAGCGGAATTCAAATTTACTTTAAGTAGATCTGGAAAGGGAGTCAGTGTAATTCTAATCTGTGAAGATGGCGGCAACACTGCCCAGTCACACTTAGGCCATACACCTTACGTGTGTCACTGAGTCCCGCATGGCAATAGACTGCGGCTTAGCACTGATAGAAGAGAGCTAGTAAAATCGAATCTATCTTAACAAGGGGTAAAACTTGTCTGCATTAAAATAGATGATGTAAAAACAAAGTCCCTTTTTACGCCAGTGGCACATTGGGCATCTGAGACTAGTATCATATTTTATAGACCACTCGGCCGATGATGGATGATGTGGCCAAATCACGCCAGCCTCATTATCTTCACCGGGTACCAATGAACTGGGAACCAAGGACATGTTTTTAAAAAAAAATTTAGCTGCATACGGACTTTGACCCCACCACCTTTAGATGAGCGTGACTAGTAAAGTATTTCATAAATGAGAATTTGTTGTTGTTATATAGATTGAAAAGAGACAAAATATCTTAGAAATTTATTGAGCTGATGCATGGATGGAGAATGAATGAAATAGCAGATTGCATGTTAAGGTTAGAATGTGATCTTACATGATGACAGCGACTAGAATTTTTAGGTGTTCGTTTAAAAACAAATACATAATAACGAAAGCAAGCGTGTTTCCTTGTATCTAATATCAGATATACATGTATGTTTTGATCATAATAGAATAAAGACACAGTCAGTAAGTAAAAATAAAGGACCCTTTTCCACGCCTTTAGGCAAATTGGACTAGATGTATATTTTATAGACCATCGGCACAAGATGGTTGATGTGGTCAGCATCACGTCGGCCACCTTTACTTCCCGGGACTGCACCGGGTACACACTCAAGGCTGAGAGCCGAAGTCATTTTTTAAAAAAGTTAGAGACTCCACCAGGGAGCAAACCCACGGCCATTCGATCCGCAGTCGAGTGTCTAGCCGCTCTGCCACGGCAACTCCGTGAAGCATTGCTTCAGAGGTCCCAGGTAGCTGACATCCTTTGAATATTTTTCTTCCTGGATGATGCTAGTGTGTTGAGAAATTACCAGGCAGAAAGACTGGCCAGTTCTGTACCATTGGGTGGTGAATTGATGCCTGACAAGCTAGATGTAGTCAGGGCCCTTTAAGAGAAGGTGAACAATGCAGAAGCATGAAAACATCACGGTCCGAAGAGCATGGTTATTCGGGAGTGGCCAGCACTCTAAGAATAGGCAAGATCAGGTGGAATCAAACTTGTATTAGCACCATCGGAACTGTAACTCTGTGTTTGCTGCCAAAGATAAGGATGGAGTGATTATGGGAAATGTTTTGAGCGCTATCAGTTCTCAACTCATGTCTCAAATTTTTCTTCCAGCAATTCAAAACAAAGTTTTAAAGACACACAAACATTTAGGCATCCATTCAGCCACCTCAGTTCGTTCATATGACAGCTATAGATTACCTTACATACCCTTCTCACACACAAAAGACAAGAAAAATTCAATCGTTTTCTTCAATTTTAATTTTGTGAAAGAATGCACATAACACCCGTTTTATTTTTTTATGTTTTTTTGGTCTATCACAGCGAACTTGTAATTTTGCACATCATTTATCATTACACACACAACCACATACATCAGCAACTACAGCCTAGTGTACACAAAAAGCAGTTTGTACAAACACAAGAGGGGAGGAAACACTATGCATACAATAAACACACATCAAAGTCGTCCATTTATGTAATACACAAAATTCTAAATGGGGAAAACGAATTATTATACTATTTAAGTTTTGTTTTTAAATCCCATGCCAAATAGCATAAGATATGAGGAATTATATTTAAAAAAACAGGAAAGGACTTTTCTATGTCTTCAGGTGAATTGACATGAAGGGCTAGACCTATATTTGTATAGACCCATCGGCACTGGCTGGGTGATGTGGTCAGTATCACGCCTGCTGTCTTTATTTCCCAGTTCTTGTACCTAGTATCCAAGGTCATT